CTCCCTCTAAAGATGAACACAAAATAATGACACCAATCATATAAGCATAAAAATATTTTCATTTGATCAGCAACTCAAAAGTTTAAGTAGTTTCGAAGTTATTAGTGAAAGGTAACCATCATTTACATATCACAGATAAAGATATTAATTGTACTTTTTACTGAACAAGAAAAAAATTGTGCAGTCTGTCAGAGAAAACACTTGCCCATCCTTACAACAGCTCAAAAAATTTAGTTGAGGAGAAGAAGCAGTCTTACAGTCACTGTGTACCTTTTAGAAGGAGACTCTGGTAATGATGAAGGTTGCTGATAGATATAACTTTTTATTTTCATTTTATTTCTCTTATTAAATTTTTTATCATTGAAAACAATTTTTTTTTTTTTGGTTTTTCGAGACAGGGTTTCTCTGCATAGTTTTGCGCCTTTCCTGGAGCTCACTTGGTAGCCCAGGCTGGCCTCGAACTCACAGCGATCCGCCTGGCTCTGCCTCCCGAGTGCTGGGATTAAAGGCGTGCACCACCACCACCCGGCTGAAAACAATTTTTAAATTTAAATATATTCTGATCATATTCTTTCTCTCCCACAATTAATTTCTTCCAAAATTTCTCCTCCTCCTTACCCACATAACCTTAAATTCTTTCTGAAAAAAAAAACAACAAACAAAATCCAAATAAAAAAAATTCCCCTGAAAGAAAACAAAACAATACCTAAAAAGAAAAAAATAAACACACACACACACACACACACACACACACACACACACACACACACACCAATAAAACTGTGGAGTCTATTACATGTTGGTCAACTACTCCTTCATGTGGAAACTTTCCTGGAGTGGTTGATATATCCAGTGTCACTTCACTGGAGACAATGGATTTTCCTTTTCCCAGCAGGTGTATATGACAGTTCATATATACCTTTGCCTTTGTTAACCTTTACCGTAGTGGCTAGATTTTCATGCATTCATTTTTTAAAAAAATATAACAAAATAAAGCACAATCTGATGAAGTAATATTATTCCCTCAGAGTTTGACAAGACAAACCAACAGAAGGAAAACAGCACAAGAGAAGGCACAAGCAGAGACCCACATGCTCTTACATCCAGGAAGACCACAAAATCACTAAACCATAGACCCTAACATATAAGCAGAGGATTGGTGCAGACTGGTGTGGCACTTCTCATGCTGCTCCAGTCTGTGCTTCATATGAGCTTTTTTTTTTTTTTTTTTTTTTTTTTTTGGTTTTTTGAGACAGGGTTTCTCTGTGTAGCTTTGCGCCTTTCCTGGAGCTCACTTGGTAGCCCAGGCTGGCCTCGAACTCACAGAGATCCGCCTGGCTCTGCCTCCCAAGTGCTGGGATTAAAGGCGTGCGCCACCACCGCCCGGCGCATATGAGCTTTTTTATGTTGATGTGGATGGTCATGTTTTCTTAGTGTCCTCCCTCCTCTCTGGCTCTAACATTCTCTTCTCCTCCTCCTCCTTCTCCTCCTCCTCCTCCTTTCTTTGAGCTCTAAAGTGAGAGACTTGGTAGAGACATGTCATGTAGGGCTGACTGTTCAAAATATTTCAAATTCTGTGTATTGTCTGTCTGTGGGCCTCCTTTTTTGTTCCCAAATGCTTTGGGAGAAATCTTCTCTGATAATGGCTGAACAAGGCACTAATTTGAGCAAAGAAGAACACCATTCAGAGTCATTTTCCACTAATTTTTTAGCTCAGTACTACTTGGTTTTTCCTTAGGTCCCCAGGCTATCTGATTTCTGGTCACCAAAGCAGTGTCAGGTATATGTTTCATCTCATGGAGTGGGCCTTAAGTAAAATCCATTATTGGTTGGCTACTCTCATGAGCTTTGTGGCAACATTGCCCTAGCATATCTTGCAGGTGGGACTATGTAATTAGACATTTTTTTGTCCTAACTGCCTGGTCCTGGATAACCAACTCAGAGTCTGAATGTGAATTCAAAATGCTTGGCTGATAGCTCAGGCTTATTACTAGCTAACTCTTACCTTTAAATTAACCCACTTTTATTACTCTATGTATTTCCAGGTGTCTGGTTATCCTTTGCTTTACATCTAGTATCCACTTATGAGTGAATACATACCATGGTTGTCTTTCTGAGTCTGTGTTACCTCACTCAAGATGAATTTTTCTAGTTCCATCCATTTGCCTGCAAACCTCATGATGCCATTGTTTTCCTCTGCCATGTAGTAATCCATTGTGTATATGTACCACATTTTCTTTATCCATTCTTCAGTTGAAGGGCGTCTAGGTGGTTTCTAGGTTCTGGCTATTACAAATAATACTGCTATGAACATAGTTAAGCATGTGTCCTTGTGGTATGATTGAGCATTCCTTGGGTATATGCCCAAGAGTGGTATAGCTAGGTCTTGAGGGAGATTGATTCCCAATTTTCTGAGAAAGGGCCACATGAATTTCCAAAGTGGCTGTACTAATTTGAATTCTGACCAACAGTGTAGGAGTGTTCCCCTTGCTCCATATCCTCTCCAGCATAAGCTGTCTTCAGTATTTTTAATTTTAGCCATTCTTATAGGTATAAGGTGGTATCTCAGAGTTGTTTTGATTTGCATTTCCCTGATGACTAAGGATATTGAGCAGTTCTTTAAGTGTCTTTAAGCCATTTGAGATTCTTCTGTTAAGAATTCTCTGTTTAGCTCTCTAGCCCATTTTTTAAATTGGACTGTTAGGTATTTTGATGTCTAGTTTCTTGAGTTCTTTATATATTCTGGATATCAACTCTCTGTCAGATGTGGGGTTGGTTAAGATATTTTTCTATTCTGTATGCTGTCATTTTGTCTTATTGACTGTGTCCTTTGCCCTGCAAAAGCTTCTCAGTTTCAAAAGGAGCCATTTATTAATTATTGCCCTCAGTGTCTGTGCTACTGATGTAATATTTAGGAAGTGGTCTCCTGTGCCAATGCATTCAAGACTGCTTCCTACTTTCTTTTCTATCAGGTTCAGTGTACCTGGATTTATGTTGTGGTCTTTGATCCACTTGGACTTAAGTTTTGTGCATGGCAACGGATATGGATTTATTTGCAATCTTCTACATGTTGACATCCAGTTATGCCAGCACCATTTGTTGAAGATGCTTTCTCTTTTTCATTGGAAAATTTTTGCTTCTTTTTCAAAAATTAGGTATTCAAACATATGTGGATTAATGTCAGGGTCTTCAGTTCGGTTCCATTGGTCTATATGTGAGTTTTTATGCCAGTACCAAGCTATTTTTATTACTGTAGCTCTATAATAGAGCTTGAAGTCAGGGATTGTGATGCCTCCAGATGTTGTTTTATTGTACAGATTCTTTTGGCTATCCTGGTTTTTTGTTTTTCCATATGAAGTAGAGTATTGTTCTTTCCAGGTCTGTGAAGAATTGTATTGGGATTTTGATGGGGATTGCGTTGAATCTGTAGATTGCTTTTGGTAAGATTGCCATTTTTACTATGTTAACTCTACCTATCCATGAGCATGGGAAATCTTTCCATTTTCTGATATCTTCTTCAATTTCTTTCTTCAGGGACTTAAAGTTCTTGTCATACAGGACCTTCACTTGCTTAGAGTTACCCCAAGGTATTTTATATCATTTATGGCTATTGTAAAGGATTATGTTTCTCTGATTTCTTTTTAAGCCCATTTGTCATTTGTGTATAGGAAGCATACTGATTTTTTTGAGTTAATCTTGTATCCTGCCACTTTACTGAAGGAGTTTATCAGCTGTAGGAGTTCCCTGGTAGAATTTTTGGGGTCACTTATGTATACCATCATGTCATCTGCAAATAGCAAAAGCTTGACTTTTTCCTTTCCAATTTGTATCCCCTTGATCTCCCTTTGTTGTCTTATTGCTCTAGCTAGAACTTCAAGTACTATATTGAATAAATATGGGGAGAGATGTTTGCCTTGTCTTGTTCCTGATTTTAGTGGAATCGCTCTGAGTTTCTCTCCATTTAATTTGATGTTGGCTGTTGGCTTGCTGTAAATTGCCTTTATTATGTTTAGGTATATTCCCTGTATTCCTGATCTCTCCAAGACCTTTTTTCATGAAGGGGTGTTAGATTTTTGTCAGAGGCCTTTTCAGTGTCTAATGAAATGACCATGTGTGTTTTTTCTTTCAGTTTGTTTATATGGTATATTACATTGACAGACTTTTGTATGTTGAACCCCCCTTACATCTCTGGGATTCATTGATTTCTTCCAATTTTTATTTTTTCCTCTATTTCTTTATTGATTTCTTCCATTTTTTGTTTGCCTTTTCCTCAATTTGATTTTTCATTTTTTCTTGAAAGGCTTCTAGCATCTTCATGATGCTATTTTTTCTTTTTATGTATTTAATATATTTAAAAAAGGAACATAGTATAAATGCTGTGGTATAAAGAGGATCCACATTTCTCACAGAATAAATTCGTAAAAATGGCTTGCAGTGAATGAGCAACAGGATCTTGAAACATGAAAGTTTTGTTAAACAAAATTTCAAAATTTTAATCCCACATTTTGCCATTTTATCTATGTATTAACATTGCTGTTCCTCTAAGAATTTTCATCAACACTGTCTTTTTATGTAAAAATATACATGTAGATATTTAACTTCCTGAGTGACTAGTCATACATCAAATATAATTTAATGAGACAATTTTAAAGTTCTTAGAATGAACTAGTATAGATTTATAATGTATGTTTAATTGTGATAAAATTCAAGAGCATACCACAGAATTTGTACTTAAATTCTGAGTTAGAAAATATGATTTATTCCCAAACAAAACCAATAAACTGTTTTAAATAAATTGTTAATAAAACGATCACTGAGAAGTTCTATTTTCTCATTTATTAATAAAATGCAGATAGCCATTTCAGACTACCAACTTGGATGTTTCCTACTATATACAGCAAAATGATTTCATTACCAAGAAATTTCTTGCAACACAAAAGGGTGAGATAACTCAAATATTTGCTTTATAATCAACCAACCTATA